ATTTCATCGCGACAGTGTGCCAGCGCACACCGCCTTGAGTGTCAGACAATTTTGGACAAAAAATGCATGACCCCACGGATCCACCCTCCCTATTCACCGGATTTGGCACCCTGTGACCTTTTCCTGGTCCCAAGAATGAAAAAGACCTCAAGGGAAAACATTTCGACGACTTTGATAAGGTAAAAGGAAAAACGACGATGGCTCTGCAAGGCATCACCTTGCAAGACTTCCAGAGCTGCTTTGAGAGCTGGAAAACGCGTCTGCATAGGTGCATTGTCTCGCAGGGAGAGTACTTTAAGAATGACATGAGTGACGATGTGTAGGGATCAGTGAATAAACAGATATGAAACAATTCCCGTTTCTTTTGGGTACCCCCTCGTATTATGACATATTCAGTTTCACCAAACTCCGTACAGGGCAAGGTACAGGGATACTTATTCAAGACAAAGACAAATTATGACTGCAGAAGTCCGTCGTTTTTTGGCATACTATTACCACGGAATATATAGTCTACGACATGGAATGGACAAGAACGAGATTTCCTGTAACTGCCGAGTTTTTGGCGACCTGATGATTTAGTCGTGCGGATTCGCTGTGGTTACTTCCTTTACGAGGATGAAAGTATAGTTGCCAGACCTATAACTAATAGGGGAAGGCGGGGCATAACGGGGTACTGGGGCAATATGAGAAGGTGCATTTTATTCTAATCAGGTGTTGCTGTCTGGAATCACTTCTGACAATTTAAACTTCGCTCGTTTGCCGCCCTTTTCCGGTGGACGCCGGCGGGAGGCGGCGTTGCTGAGGATGGTGGGTAAGGTTTTTTTCATGGTGCTGATGTATTTTTCAACATTCGTTTGGTAACTTCCTAGGTGAAAATCCGTTCGAGTAGGTTTGTCATAGTCAGTGAAAGCAATGACTCTCGTCCTAGCCAACCTTTCGCTTCGATAGAAAGTTGCCGGCTGTTTTGATAAACATGAACGATTCTGCTCCATTGCCAATGTCCTTCGGGGGTTAAAACGGGTTTCCGGTAGAGGCGATATGGGGTGGTGAATTTTACCACATTTTACCACATTTACCCCATTTACGTGCCCAGAAGTGCTTTTTTGTTACAGTTCAAACTAGTTGCCTTTATTGGCCCACTCACGTTTCATAAATGCATTTAGAGAAGGGGTTGTGTTAAACGTTTCAAACGTTGTCATAATGTTTCTTCATTATAAGTAGGTACACAGGCACCGTGTATGTGCCTAATATATATTTTTGCCGAGATAAACTCTTTCATTTTCAGTAGCTTGGATCTTGGTTTAAGCGGCGAGTGCACAGGAACGTGCACCCAGCAGCCTGACACAAGTCCCAGATTTTCACCACGCCTTTTATCGTTTGTCGCATTCCTCGAATGGAGTCACTGCTGGCGCCGCCACCGACCGTCCACCGCTGCATCCAGGCGTCGCTCTCCTGAAGAAACTGCATGTGTTCTCCCGCCGTTGCTGGATGGAGGCTGGATATCGCGCGTCGCTTTGAGCAGGGGTCGAACCGGGCGGAAGAGTTTAGCACATCGAGCAGGTCGTTGAGGCGCAGCAGGAGAGTAGCAGTCGGGAGTGCAGTGCGCGGGAGCTTGCCGTGGGTCGCATGCAATGTGATTGCTGCTGCTACTATCCGGCTCATCACCTGTAGGGCATAGCTGACTTTCATTTTTCAAAGCTGTTTGGCCTGATGTGTTTCTGGCTTAGTTTTGGAGCAGCCCGTGGGGAAGAAGCGCATTCCAGTGCGTAGAGTGTTTCTAAATGACTCCAAGATGCTACTTCACCGTCTACTTCAATATCGTATTTCATTAATGCATTTCGTATGCATTTGAAGATGTGAGGCACGTCATACAGAGCAGCAACCTCGTGCCCGTCCACGGTGAACAAGCCGGTTTCCGCAGCTCCGAGCAGTCTGTAGGTCGCCTGGTTGTTCTTTGACATGTCACAAGTTGTAGCTAGCACAGTGAATCCCGCTGTTGTTACACGTTGGACACACTGTGTTAACAGCTGCTGCTGCACAACGTCGTAGACTATATATTCCGTGCTATTACGTTTGAGGTACTTCTGGTACGCCGATCTGCTTTTTCAACAGCTGTTTGCCGAGTCTGCTGGCATTGAAAGTATGCTACTTTTTGTGGCATACTTTGAGAAACAGCTTGGCATACATCAATTTTTTGTATGATAATGTTACAAATTTAATGACTTCATCGATGCAACGTATGATAAAAACATGCCACTGGCTACGCAAAAAGTTTTAGAGGTCATAATGGTTATTTCTTGCTGGATATATAGGGTATCGTGTGTCAGGGCTTATATTGAAATTAAACCCAAGAACAGCTATTTTTATAAGGCTTATCTCATCGTGGCATCACTGCGATTAAAATCACCCCATCATGCAGAAACACAACAGGGAATTCCCTTTTTCATTCGCATTCCCGATTACATTATTGAGTTTTCCACTTCCAAAAAAAAAAAACGACAGTTCACATTGTATTTTGATAACACAAAAGGCCAAAAGCGTTTCAAATCTTTCTCACCGTGATTATTACACCGTGCTCTTTATACAGCGTTTTACCGAAGAGAAAGTAAATAGCTGGCGAGGGCGAGAGGAAGAACTGAAGTCCAGTCTAGCAACGCCTTGATTGACATGCCCAGCATGTTGCATCACAAGTCACAACGCTTCATTACATTCGTTTTCATCGCCCACTTTTACTATTTCTTTGCAGTATCCATATTTCTCTTGTGTTGTGGCCAAATGATGCAATTTATCACCGGCTTCCCGCTTCCGTTTAGGTCCAGAGAATGATTCCGAAATATTCTCCATATTTGAAGTCGTCGGTAGACCCTTCGATTATTTAAAAACTTGATTCAGGTAATATTTCAGATAACTTGTCGGCTAGTCGGCCGTGCTCCAATTGCTACCATCAGTGATCGGTAGTTAGATAGGTGCCTCATGTAATGCCATTTATTGTTCGGCTTTATTTATATTTGCTCTAAACCACTCCAGAATTGCGTAGAAGATGTGAACAAATATTAAAGCAACATTTAATGAGAAGTAACTTGGAAGAAAAAATTAATGTTAATTCAAAATCCAATAAAACCCACACACGCCAGTAACTTCAACTGTGCTGCGCGGCTTGCTGCCGATTGTTTACATTTTGGCTTTGGAATGTCATGCTCCGAGCAAAAATCAAGAGCATTATTAGCAATATTTCCTTAGGCACTTCCTCTTGTATGATCAGCAAATGTCCCCGACAAATGTCTGCATGTCCCCGACAAGATGTATGCATGCGCGCCGGTGGCTCTCAAACTACGTAAAGCGGGCGTAGTGAATATATTCCTGTGGTGAAACCGAATAGTATTGTCGTCGTACTTTGTCGGTGTACTTTTCCAAAGTACACCAAGAATATATTCACTTGGTGAAATCGGCCCCTGGCGGGTATGGTTGCGGTTGGTGGCAGGCCGTAGCCAGCTCAAGTCAGCGAGGGGACCGGCTGTACGCTGCTATGTGTGTACGTTAAACTTTGGACTCTAAATTCTGCCATAGACGGGAATTGGGCGATCGGAGGGTGGAGGGCAGGGCCAACGCAGCAAGTTCTCCTTAGCGGGGGCTCTGTCCTTGTGAATCCCTCCTTTCATAAGATACGGACTAAATTATAAAAAAAAATCCTCTGTTCGTACCATGGTGAGACAGCGCGCCCGACGTGACGTCATACACGCACCGCCGTGTGGCGTCATATAGGACAGTGAAGTTATAATTTTATACGACGACTCAACGTTTTCACTGGCAAATTCTAGGAGTGGGGGCATTAGGAGGCTAGGAGCATATGCCCCGTCGAAGCGTCCGAAATTGATGAAAATTAGTGCAAAATGACCCATGCAGTCGGTGCGCCTTAAAGCTCAATACCCAAACCCATAATTTGTTGAAAATTCGCAATTTTCCCTGCATGTGAATATTTTCTCTTCTAATATGTGCGAGATTAATTAGCCTGACATTGTTAAGTGATGAGCCGACTGTGGTTTTCGAAATTCAGACAACGTTGTTCGCACTCATGACAGCGTCCATTTCGTCCCTCTGGAGCCTAATCAAGCAATAACCTTCACCTAAGCTCAAAATATTGTTCGATGGCTTTTTCATCCTTCTGATATATATGCATAATGCATGGCGCTGGACGCCACACTGTCGTATATGACGTCACACGGCGGTGCGTGTATGACGTCACGCGGGGCGTGCCGTCTCCCCGTGGTACGGTGGGCCGTTGTCACCACCCATCTGCGTCGCCGGCCGGGTGTGCCTCGTTCGTCCGGTAACGATCAACGGACCGTCGATTAATGGGCGCCATTCACTGGTCATTAACAGTCACCTGGTCGCCTGGCTGGACCATCGTCTCTGGTTTACCTATGACCATCGTCACTGTTCATCGTCACGCCCTAGTTCATCATCTCGGGCTTACCTGGGCCATCGTCACCGGTCATTTGGGTCAACGTTTTACTGTGGTCTCTTTTTCGTTCTTTACGTTTTGTATTCCGATGGACTATTACAGGAAAAAATCATCCGTATTTTGTTATGGCTTTATAGAAACGAAGATAAGGTGAATTCAAAATTACAACATCTACAACCTTTTGTCAAATTATGACCTGACACTGGTTTTAACGTCTGTATTGTACTGTGTTCTGAATCCCTGTACCGTCAACAGTGTGGCAATGACTTACTCGAGTTGTAAATGTCCAGTGCCCACACCCCCTCCCTTACGTTATTAATCGATGTCTGCCTGCCGTCACTCCGACCATGCGTGTGGAACTTTCACGCGCCATGCAAGCATCCCTTGTCTGTCGCTGAAGATGTGCTGTGAAGAGAGTCTCGTGCTGTTGTGACCGTCAGCTGTTGACTCCAGTCTCCCAACTTTGTCCGAGCTGTTTACTCGATCGTTTCGTCAGTCGCTGGTTACTGTTTCTCTCTCAAACTCAAATACTGACGTGCTCCAGCCTCGATGTATTGATCCACGTATTTGCATTCAGAAAACATAAACACACAGACAGGCCGACTCATGTGGAGGGCCAGGGACTTTGCCCATCACTCTGCTGAGTGGTCTTGTCTATCTTTCGGTTCGTGACAGTATGACGCGGAAATAGAGTAGGACGACGTTTTACATCAACAACACGTATGCGGTAACAAGTCATTCGCTAAAATCACAACAGGGGTTCCTGCCGAGCTACCGAAGAAGCATCGTGAAAGCTGCTGTAGATCCTTCATTTCTTTATGCAACAGGATGTCGAATTACATGTTGCATCAGTTATCAGTCGTGACTGTACGACGTACATGTAACAAATTCAACGGTACAAGGCGTCTCCGTCTACTTTTTAAAGCAGCACTGACATAGGTACTGTCATATGAAAGTTGAATGCTGAACAATGCTCATCAATACATTACCTGTTTGTAAGCTAATATTTTATTTTTCCTGGATATTTTTATTTGCTGGGACATGTCAATCAAAGAGTTTCAGGCGGTAGTAGAAAAGGAATGAATGGCCTTTCAGTTTCCGATGGTCGTTTCAGGCAAAAACTTGTCGGGGTGTGGCGGACAGCATAATTGGTTGAAATTGTTATTTACATCATTTTACCACATACATGCAGTATCTATCCCCTTGCCATTTGCATAGCTCCGTAATGCATATCTCAGTTGCATGCCTATTCTCAGCAATATGCTATGCTAACAAGGAAAGTTATTGAAGATATCTTTGGCCAAAGCTTTGATGTGTTGATATAACAGTAGCCGCCTTTGTTATTGTTTTACGTTGAACTTTTACGTAGTGCCATTTAGCCTATTCGTCGACCTTGAGGCTGAATTGCCTTTGGTTCAGCCGGATTTGGATCCGTCTTTGGCCCGGCATCATCCAGCCCCAGGGCGTAGCCCGATAGCCGGGCCGTGCGGATCTGTCCGCTCCGAGTGGCCAGTACGGGCGGTAAACGTGATCCCTGCCTCCGCCCCTCAGCCACGTCAATCTCCGTGTATCATATCAGAACTCGGGCGCCGGGCCGGTCAGTCTGTGCGCCTCGGGCTCCGGGTCTGTCGGTCCGTCCGCCGGACTGGCGAGCGGACGACGGACGGGGAACGCGAGTGGAATGTGCCGACGCTGCCCCGTCGGAGAGGCGGCGCCGGTACCTATCAGACCCGCCGCTGCCGGGCTCACGTCTCTCACAGAATCACAGTGGACCGCCAGCCTCTGCGGTGCCACAGTGAGGGTGAGAGACGTCCCCGGCGACGGACCGCCAGCCTCTGCGGTGCCACAGTGAGGGTGAGAGACGTCCCCGGCGACGTCGGTGGCGGTGGCGGACGAGATTACGATCAGGCCCGGTTCAGAAACATGTGACAGTAGTACAACAAACCAGACCCAGCTAAATCTCCATTGCACCTTTATGGCTTCAATTGTGGCTGATGATGCGTCAACATCTGACTGGTCCCTAACTAAAATGTGCCTTCCCTTATCGATGGAAAGAGGACCGTGCAGGGGTCTGTCCTGATTAATTGTCAGGATTCAGGTTTCTGCAAACAGAAACCATGAAATTTAACACCGATAACAAATTGAACACATTGCTGCCGGACTAATTCACATTCATGCATGGCGAGGAGGCCGCTTTTCAAGGGGAAATAGTTTTGCAATAGAACTCTTCTTCAGCCACCAAGCCATTGCTTCATGGATACAGGTAAATGTTCCTCATCGGACGTTTTTACGCAAGCTGCTCGTCGGCTTATTCGTGATATCCCCAAACGTGCATCCAATTTCAGAACGCCGATAGACAGGATATCACAACGGCGACGGAGGCTGTCAGGGATATTGTGACGTCACGGGATGAAATGTAACGTCACGCCGGACTGGTGACGTATCGCTGAGCCGGTAGTCGCCGGGACTGAAGCGCCGAGCTGGCGGAGAACCGCCGTTGGACGTAGCTCTGCGGTGCCTTCACTCGTCGGCGAGCAGCAGGTGCCGGCTGGAGCCGAGCTGCTGACTCCGGAGACCGCCCAGCCCCATCAGGCGGCTGGCGAGGCTCCGCTCCGCCGACGCCGGGGTCCTCTCCATCTCACTCCCTTCAGACCCGCTGGAGCGAGCCGTCGGCCTCTTTCCGCGCATACCGCCGAACCCGCTCGGAATCTTCTTCCCCCGCATACCGCTGAAGCCCACGGGCACCTTCTTTCCTCGCATGCCGCTGAAGCCGTACGGCACCTTCTTGCCCCTGAGCCCGCCGAAGCCGCTGTACACCCTCTTACCACGCAGACCTCCGAAGCCTGACGGCGCCTTCTTTCCGCGAAGGCCGGTGAAACCGAACGGCGTGCGGTCGGCGCGTGTGTACAGATCATCGTAGAGGTTGTCCAGCCTCATGAGTCGATGAAGTGGGTAGGTAAAGCGGCGGTGTCGGGCCACCAGCGGGCCTCCGCTGCCGCCGCTGCCATTCTCCGGCCAAGTGGCGTTCCTTTTGCCGCGCATTGCCAGGAAGCCGATCCGCGGTGGTCGTGCGTGCAGAGTTTGGGCAGCGACCACCGCCAGCAGGAAAACTGTCAGGCCGGCCAGCTGGCAGACGCTGCAACACAGACAGACAGGTGTCAGATGACAGGTGTTTCAGAACGTGTGATAGACGTTGCAACACAGACAGGTGTCAGATTAGACTGCTGACTGATATTGCAACACATACAGACTGGTATCAGATTAGACTGCCTACGGACGCTGCATCACAGACATGAGACAGATTAGACGAAGACACTAGAGCACGGACAGAAAGACATACTGTCAGAGTGGACAAAAGCATTAGAACACGGACAAGTCCGAGTTAGAAATGAGCTGTTATACGGCATGTATTGAGAGCGGACAGATGACAGAATAGACTGTCAGATTCAGCTCCTCACAGACAACGGAGCACAGGCAGACAAACTATAATGCTAGTCACAGACACTGGAACATAGCGAAATAGGCATGTTGACTGCTGACACTTGACAGACGTTTGCAACACACTCCACCATACAGTTTTGACTTTTGACATTCGGCTTTCTTGGATGAACGACGATTCATAATAATACGAAGGCCACCGGCATGCTGTGTCATCCGAAGACTATTTTTGACCATAAGCGTGAGATGCCGACACTGTAGTGGGATCGCGATGCACGCACATTGCACAGTGACATCGCATATTACTCAACCGAACAGACTCGTGCTTAGCAGCCTACCATTTTATTTGTAAACGCAGTATACGTAGAGTTCTAGAGTGCATGTGGTATGGAGCAGGTCGTGTCATAAGACTTGGGCAGAATTTACTTGATGCGATTCTGAGTTCTGCTCACTCGATCTTTTTATAGTTGATAGTTAGGTGACAACTAATCGAATTTTGTGAGCAAGCCCATTGTGCACCTTTTCAGAACGCCACTTGACGCGCTCGACGAGCGACAAATGGACAGGTCGTTTGAACTTTGAACGTTGTCAGTTTGTTTGAACAGCAAATAAGCCGCGCCCGGTGGGTAACCGTCTTGCTGAAGAGCACCCCAGCAGTTGATGCTGCTCTGTCGAACCAGGCACTCACGCATGCATGGCGTATGCTCGGGGCTATAGCGGTCTTTGCAACTATTCTACAGCCCAACTTTTGATGTACCTTTTTAGTTTATTATTTCTGCAAGAATTTGATACCGTTCCACTTCTCCCTGGAGTTCTAAATGCGATTTTAGCGTGACGTGAGCTTCTGATGCGCCTAATGCACAGGTGTCGCTAAATGACTGAGAAACTCATTTAAAGAAATGTTTCGCAGTCGTGTGCTGCTATGTTTTCGCTGTCACTGCTGAATGCGCTCAGCGTTGAAATCGAATCACCGTATGGTCAAACACCAAGTGTGGCTCTATGACTTGCATACCTAATGCTTGATCGAACAGATAATTTGGAAAAATACTCGCTTGACACAGACAATAGGGAAACAATCTCCGTGGCTGTTGCCAGCTGTGCGACTTCACCATTCCCAGACTTCTCTGTGTATGACGAATACTGATCTGATTACGGATTATGTGACTGCCATTTTCGTCGCAGATTCGAGGCTAGGCAGGAGTCAGCAGAACACCCTAAAAGCAGCGGCTGTCGTGACGTGTGTTCCCAACAAGTCGTCGGTCAACAGCGCTTCCCATTAGTTTCCAGAATCAAATCAAAGACGAACTGTCACAAAGATGTGACTCAGTTGTTTTGGTTTGGATGTAAAGCCGTCTTTGGTATACAGTAAGTCGGGATTTGGCCTTTGAATGTCTATAAATGCTTAGGGCGGATAGTTACTTTGTCCTACACCCCTCTCTTGGTTGGTAATTTCTAGCCGAACTTAATCAGAAAACCGTCTGAGCGTTATCATGGATTAGCGGTGGACGGGTGCCTCGCCGCATTCCTTCTACGCCCGTAGGCGTTGTTGACTCCGTAATGGTGATATATGTATATCTTATGCCGATCTGTGTGCCACGTGTGACCGTGTTGTTTATCTCACTCTGATCCTGTACTAACACGTACGGTAAGCAGATTAGCGGGTCATTAGGCTCGTGCATTTTATACCCGTTGATGGTCAGTTTGGCTTGCAAAATGCAAATGCTACTTTTTACAAGTTATTACCATAAAAATGTCCAAAGATCTCCAAACATGTTTAAAAACTACCCAATAATTAAGACTTTACATTGTAGTTGTAAATGCTTAAGTAAAACGTCAAAACAACGTTTTATACATACAAGATCCAACATTGGTATTTAATTTCCTTTTAACCCGCGCCGTGCTGGTGGCCTGAACTTTCCGCCGAGTGCTGGGGGGGGGGGGGGGCGTTTTCACGCCCCCCGTCTAACTCGGCTCCTGGGCCACGTAGCGACACGCGGTAAGCGGCAATCGAAAGAGCGTCAAAAATAAGGACGAAAACACTTCGGTCATTTTTTGGGTCAGGTCAAAGGTCAGGTCACCAGAGGTCACCAAAGGTAAAATGTTGACTATTTCAACATTTTGGAAACTGCCAACGGCTATCTCGGGAACCGATAGAGCTACAGCGCCGCGGAAAAGCGCATTCGATAGCCCTTTTACAGACCTTTCTGAGTAATGTTCTCAGATTTGACCTCAGGTCAACGGTTTAGCCTCCAGAGGGCAAAAACTCCAAAAATAGCCGTTTTTACGAAAAACGTTTTTTCGTCAATAACTTTTGACTCATAAGCGCCATGACATTACTTTTGCCAGCATCGTGTTCCTCTCGTCGAGACGCGTCGAATGAACTATTCGTTGACCTTGAAAGGTCATTTTGAAAATTTGACCTCAGGTCAAGGTCATGACCTGACCGAAAAGGGTCATGTTGCATATCAGTCGATCCGTATCGTCGAGCTGAACACATCTGACGTGTTTTCACCGCTCTAGCACGTCTCTATCAAAAGTTATAGCCAAAAAACTGCTGGCGACCGTTCATGACCTGAGATGACCTCAGGGGCACACAGAGGGGTCACAGGTGCATTTTTCCTATTCAGTGTGTCATGTTTACCTATGAACCGATGTTTGAGAGCGTTTTGAACGATATTCGTCCAAAAGAGGCGCATTTCAATTTTCTCCCATTGACTTATAATGGAGAGGTCGCAAAATTGACCTGACCTTAGGTCACAGATATCAAAAATCCGAGATATACATTTTATACATACTGTTACTCATATCAATCGCTGAAAGTTTCAAAGTGATCGTTCAGTCGGTGTAGCTATAGCGAGCCTTTGAACTTTTTCTGAGGTAAGGTCACTTGACGTGACCTGGTGACCTGACCTTGAACGGCCTAGGTCTGAAATTTTCACAACATGTGCGGAAATGATGTAGGAACACGTGTACCAAAAACGGCGGCGCTGCGCGCCGCCGTTTTTGAGATATTCGCGAAAAACCTGAGGGGGGGGGGCGTAAAAACGCCCCCCCCCAGCACGGCGCGGGTTAATGTAATGTTACCGGCCCAAAAGTGTTTATCATATCGAGAGCTGAGCTTTCTTTTCACCAATCAATGCCATGCAACATTATGCTTTGAAAAAATGCTGAGGCATAGCAAGTGATTTTTTAATGTTTTTGAAAGCCTGCTGCCTTTGTCCAACCAAATTCCGAATTGGACATAGGACAAAAATCGGAATTCCGAAGGTTCAAGTTCCGATTAGCACCACTAGTGCCTAACTACCCGAATAGAAGCAGATCTTTCATCCGAATAGACTATAGAAGGTAAATGTTTGAGAATAATATAGCTTTCTCTTCTTGAGCATCTTTACAGAGCCCGAGGTCAGTTCCCCCTTGGGACAGCAGCAGTTGGGTATACATGCGCGATTGTTTATCTTCTAAACACACTCTCTGGCTGGCCAGACCATACCTCCGTACCGCCCTGCTATTCATACGCACACCACGGAATATATAGTCTACGGCAATATGTAGTCTGTCGTAGACTATATATTTCATACACACCCCCACGCTCCGTTGGTCTTTTTCACCGCAACTACAGATCTTCATTTTTCCATTGGTCATGGTGTCGACACCGAAATCCGACCACACCTGACCCGAGTCAGACCGGCGCAGCCTCGCCCAGAGCGGGGTGGGCGGCCGGGCCGGCTCCGCGGACAGGGTCAATATTTACCGGCCGTAATCAGTCTGGCAGTTGCGGCGAGGTCGGTGGGAACACTGACTCGACTCGGCCGGCAATATGTGTGTATGCACCCGAGTGACGAACAAACTGACCAGAAAGGCTGGCTGTGGGCTGCCCACCACTCTGAGTCGCTCAGCGCGGGCAGGCAAAAGTGCCAGTTGATGACAGAACTTATTTATAGATAAATTAAAGCTGACAGATAATTGATGAGAAGTCGATCAAGGGAGCTGATGAGAAATGATATGTAATGGTATCATTAGGGGAGTTGGAAAACATCTAAGCTCAGAGCCACGCTGTGCCCAGGGACAGGGTGTTTCTGCAGGTCATTATCAGATCAGGTTCCATCGTCGGTCATAGCGGACCATGTTTGTGTTTGCTGCTGCGGCTGGTCTTCGGTCGCTGGTGCTCCGATAGATTTCCTCTACATATACCTTACCTTGTAAGAGTGAAATCTAGGCTCAGCCTGTCGTAATTCGTGTACCCATGTCGTAAGGGTGGAGTTGCCTGACATTACCCACGGACAGGAGCGTCCCAGGCTGGACTAGGAACAGCGGCCGATCGGAGCCCATCCCGGCCCACCGGGGTGGCCCATCCTGGTTCACAGGCTCAGCCTGGCCCCAGGCAGGAGTGGCCGACCTTACCCGACTCGCGCAGCCTATGGCAGGAGTAGCCAACCCGGCCTGACTCACACAGCCTAGTAACCGGATCAGCGGCAGCGGCTGGCAGAAGTTTTCGACTGCCGATGATAGCCCGGCGGCAGGTGTGACCACTGGACAGCTGCCGTCCCGGACAGCGGCCACAAATTGTCGCCGAGTGTCCGGGTCCGAGCCGTGACGTCTGAATTCCAACCAGCCACGGCCAACTACCCGGAGCAACGCTCCGAACTTGGCCGATACGCTGCGTCTGTGATTAGGATGGGTTGTGAGGTGACGAGATCAGCTCTTGATGCAGCGGTGCAGGCTAAAACTGTCGTCCAGCACTCGCTCATGTCATTTTGCTTCGGAGTTCGGACTAGATTCTGCCGACTCCTGAATTCGGTTATTTTTATGTTGCAATGGATACCCTTCTCTTTTTATTAAGGTGATTATAATCTATTAACACTAAACCGTTGGTGATTTGCTGGATCATGCTATAGCCTTTCGGTTTAATTTGTTGTTTTCCTATAAAGCATCATGCTATGAAATTCCATTGGTATGGGGTTTCACTTCAGTTTCTTAATAAACGTGATCACAATGGAAGCATTCTCGTTTTTTAATGTTCAAAGCCTGAGCTTCAGCTTTTTGATGCCTCCAATTCCTAGCAAGCCTTATAATCAACTAGATTTACCACATCACCCGAGGCGCTGAAATCCCAACCGGTACCGCTTTGAAGTCGCATTGCTGTTCATGAAGGCGACTGGGGCGTCGGCTTTGTGGCACCGCATTGTCCATCGCCTCCGCGGCCCCGCCCAGCGCCCGATATTGACGGGCAGCTTTGGGACGACTGCAGTGAAGAACTCTAGCCGCTCCTTTCCTCCGCCCGCCAGTAAAATATGAACGGCGGCCGGCTCGGCGAGGTTTGGACAGCCGTCAGATTTTCATTAAATATCACTGGCTTGTATAGTAGAATTGATTTATCGATGTTTCTGCTGCCGTACGATGTTCGTTTGAGAAGACTTAAACATATCTGAAGTGAGAATGCTGCGGTCAGCCGTTGGAACAATATGGTGTCGAAAGAAAAACGTGAATTTCCTGAACTAGTTATATGTCTGGTTATCTATATTTCCGTGCGAGTAGTCCTTTGTCAGTTATTGTTATTCGCCATGATTTAACAATTTTTAAGTGATTGATCATCTTCATGATTAATCATCCCCCATGACTCGCCTCATTTGAGTGGGCCACTTCCGGCAAACCATGCATGGGTTGGCTACATTACGATCAGCTAGCGAGAAGAAAATACGGGTAAAGAAGTGCTAAGTATGTGCTATTTTCAATATGCAGTGTCTGAACACTGAGCGAGGAAGCATTCCTCTAACGCCTCTCTGTGGGCGCCAATGACGGAGATGTGTGCCATGCGGCACAGTCTGCATCTCAGGCGCCCGCCACCACTGCCATCTAGCGACAGAATCGTAAGTGTCTGCCCGGGGAATTTCTGACCTCCGGCTCATTGTAACAGTCAAATCAGTGCTCTTTTGATATGCTAGCGATGACCTGGCTACATTCAAAGATGTGCTAGGCGCTAGCTGTGAAAACATCCACGAATCATGTGATTATCGCACTTACGACTAAAACATAACCATATGTAATATAGGAGGCCGAACCGGCCCTGAGCTCCGAGAAGCGCCGTCCGCATGCGTTGCATGCGCGTTTCTCTGCGAAAGGTGCATATTTATTTGTACATGCTGGTGTTAAGTGAGAAGACTTTTGGGGAAGTGACGAGAAAGACTCGTTTTTACAGCAAAGAGTTTCTAACGAAATCTTAATGTGACAACACCAAGGAAACCTTTCATCGAATCGATGTTTGAAGTTTTGAACTATTTAGACGAGATCGGCTTGTTTCTATTTGTTTGCGAGCTAAACACATTGTGGCACTATATTCGCGTTTAGAAATTGCAGATCCTATGGCACGCATGATAAGTGACACCAGCATTTGAAAGGCTTACCACTGGCTACTCGATATCGTGGTTTTGACTCAACATGTTTTTTCCGGCAATAGGAAGATGAATTGGTTTATACTGGCAGTGATCAACTGTTCTATCCATAGTTTCAGCTTCTGAGTGCTATTGATCACATCGGCCACCGTGAAATCGAATTCAGCCCACACACCCATCACCTTTACAGTAATGTGGCATCGCCTGATGAGATGATGCCTCAATCAATCATTACTTCTCGTTTCTTTAACATTTTGATTTATCCCGCTAGGGCTAAACGCTACAATAACACATTTTCTCATGCTCAAGCAGTGTAGGTACCTATGCAAATGAAAGATTAAGAATGGTTTAATCTTACGGATTTATTCGTTTTCTGTTCCAGCGTTCTTATGTTGTAGCAGTGCCTTCTTTCTGTGTAGAACTCTGCTCGCCCTTAACCCTCGCGGGCCCGGGGGGGGGGGGCGTTTTTCGCCCCCCCCCCCTGGCGAATATTTGCGATAGCTCCCGAACGCTTAGGGATAGGAAAGCGAAACTTTCAGTACCTTTTCTCCCATCAATTTGACATCTTCTGAAGTAAAAAAATTTGGACCTAGCCCCCTTGATGATGTCACAAGGCCCATTTTTCTAGACCTCAGCACGGCAAACTTCGGCGTCACAGACGCAAACTTCAAATAGCTGCTAAAAATAGAGTTTTAGAGATAAAGACAAATTACGAGCACGGTTGTGTAGCGTTTGACCCAGAGAAAAACATAAAAATAGTTTTGGTGACCTGAGGTCAGAGGTCAGGTCAACGACCCCGAAATGTGGTTTTAGTTTTTCGCAAATAACTTCGACAAAAATGGTCCTAGAGCTACGGCAGTGGTACCATCGCATTCGCCTTGTCAAGCCGCGTCGAATGATATATATTTTGTTCGGAAAAGGTCAAGTTTTATGCTGACCTTATGTGACCTCGAATGACCTCTGGTTGACCTTGACACATGAAAGGTCGTTTATGATGGATTTGTACTCGCTGATCATGAATCTGGCATCTATTTTCCTCTAAGCCTTCATTTAGAGCTTCCGGATGGCAAAATTATCTTATTTATTATTACTAACTTGAATCAGTGAAATAGCCTCTAGCAGGGATACTATTCTGTGACCTTGACCTTTGAGCAGCCTTGTATCGTAAGATGAACCACAAATAGGGAACTGATAAGCCTCAAAACATTTCAAAACATCTTGGAAGTTAGCACGCAAGATGTGCGAAAAAGTGCCAAGTTTGAGGTCAATTTTGAGCGTGACCTTCACCTTGACCTTTGATTTTGAGCACATTTTCGGAATCCTCAGATTCTCTTCTTTCGTTTGACATCCAATTTTGCCGGTTTGATGCAGCCTGCCGTCCTCTAGAAGGCTTACTTTGGGATCACTACACATATGCCGGTTTTTGCCTTTGACCTTGATCTCTGACCTTGAAAATTGACCTGAGGTCAACAATTTTAGGTGCTTTAGAATCGTTTCGTAAGGACCTTTCGTTTGGTATCACTTTCGTTTCCGTAGCTCCCTTATTTACGGAGTTACACAGGGGAGCGAAATACGCCCCCCCCCCGGGCTGCGGTGGTTTAGATTACCCCCCGGGCCCGACCGGGTTAATGCGTTTGTTTGGTATTAGATACCCCGCGCCATGACGGGGCTGCTTGGACCCCTGGGGTTTTCGACAAATATCCCAAAAGCGACTGCGCGTGACGCTGCCGTTCTTGGCACCCTTTTAATGCATCTTTTTACACACGTAAAAATGTCAGCCCCAGGTCGCTCAAGGCTAGGCCACAGGGTCACGATATATGACTACCTCAGAAAACTTTCCGATGCTCGCCATATAAAACGTTTATCTCGGAATCTCGATATCAGCGCCTTAACGTCAGGCCAGTTTTGTGACCTTTCCATTAAAGATAAGTCAATGGGAGAAAAGTGAACTGCGCTTCTTTTGGGCGAAATTCATACTCAACGCTCAAACATCGGATCGGAACAACAGGTAAACACGACATATTGGATTGGAATATTGCACCCATGTACCCCTCAATGCCTCTTTGATGGCCTCTAGTCAGTTGGCCTAAAATTGACCAAAGTGCTTTCCTCGTTATTTTTTCCCCTTTTCCAAACCTGTAGGACCTGTAGGAGCCTGTAGGAGCTGAGTCAGACGAGAATTGTTCAAACCCCACCGGCCCGGCGTGGGTGGTGCCGAGCACCGGCCCGGCGGGGTTAATCAGGGGCATGCTGTTTTCTTAGAATATATCCCTACAAAATTGGCTGAACTAAAACAATGAAGCTATGAGACATGTCTTCACATCGGCTTTTTGTATCGCTATTTATTGTAGCCTGGTTAACATGCTGCGATAGTGTGATGAATAACATTGTGATATAATGTGTTCACTTGTTGTTGGCCTCTTTCTTTTGTAGGTAATTTTGAGTAATAAGTGACGAAATGCCAAAATGCACATTTAATCAACGATACTGTTTACACATATGCTGTGTAGATTGCATAAAATGAGTAAAGAGAAAACGTTTCTCTGCAACAATCAACAATCATTTCCATTTAGTCCCTAGCCTGCCCCCATTTACCTGTACATGCTGCGCCGTCTGTAGCCGAGTCTTTGGGTCCCTCCGCGCTGCGGCTCTCCGTGCTGCTGTGTCCGAGTCTGCCGCTGTCTGCTGTCTGCCCGACTGTCTGCTGTCCGCTGTCCGCTGTCTGCGCCGCCGCCGGCTCTGGACGGGCGGCGCCTCGCTCGGGTGGCGGAGGACGGGGCGCGGCGGCGCCTCTCTCCCAGCGGCGACTGACCTGACCCGAGCAGCAACGGCGGCCGTTTGCCACCGCCTCACGGTGGCAGTCTGGGCCGGTCGGCCGCCCGCGCACTCCTCCGCCCACCACCTCCCGGCCGAAATTGTGACGTCACTCGTCATTCGGCCAATCAACGGCCCGGAAAATTGGCCACGTGACTCCCACGCGCGAATGAAAGGGTTGCCTTACTTGGTCGTTACGTTTTTCCGTGCTTTTGGCATTTATTCACCACAATCTGCTATTGTTGTCTTATAATTAGGGACTGTAAACTAATCAAAAATTATAATTTGGAAAGAACTTTTTCTTTGGTGTTTATGTCACTCAACTGAATGTAGTCACTGGATTTCCGCAATAGGTATCTTTCTGCTATTATATTTTTATCTTTGTTTACCAGTAAGTACCCACTATTAAAACGGGTTAGAGTAAACCTGCATTTGACTAGCTGTGTTGTGCAACCGTCAACACAGTCAAAAAGTAAGATATGAGAACTTACCTTCACTATTCTACCGTCGGCGACAAGGCGAGCTGATCCAAATGTACCAGCTGTTCCATGGAGGTGTCGACCTGATTCCGAGAGACTACTTTGCATCTGCCACGGACGGTTGTGCTCGAGGCCACTCGCGGAAAGTCCAGGAGCCCAGAGCCCGCACCAGACCAAGCAGGAAATCATTCAGTGTCAGGGTCGTCTATGATTGGAACTGCTTGCCTCAAACGACTGTGGAGCAGCTCAAATCAAGACTAGATACCCACTGGACAAACATCAGGATATCGATATCTGATGGGAGTTAGAGAAGTTCGACTTGTCATGAGCTCGATAAGAAAGATTCCCTTCAGGCAAGGTGGCCTCTAAATTTTGAACGACATTGGGTATGGTAAGGTAAGATTCACAGTTTTATTCATTTCTCTCTCCAATATGTATACCTACTTGGTGAGGGGTTATGAAGATTTTGTAACTTGCAAGTTATAAAGTGGTTTGTAGAAGCATCCACATTCAGCGAGCAGTTCCATGAACTGAATTAACAGCTTGATACTGGAAACTGGGCTGTTGCCAGCGGAGACATTCCATGAAATGTTCACAGGGATGTGGACTGTGGTCCCTTATCGAATGATGTTCTGAAACAACGCCGATGTCATATCGATCCCGTCACGGCTCTTTACCTTGACTTGCTTCATATGTAATTGTCGTAAATGCCAAAGTGCATTGCATTTTGCTCACGGCTTACCTACCCTGCCCATTCTGCGTTACGCAACCAAATTGTACCATAAATCTCACTGTTACACTGCCGTGAGTCTGTGACACAAATTGTATAGAAGATTTTCAACGCTTATTGGCTATACCGTCCAGTGTTGAAATTCATGTTGTTAGCAACAGAAGCTGAACGACTCTTTGGACCACTTTTACCCTATAAGTCATAAAATATTTTCTCTGGGCCCCACTCTAGCCTTGGTACTCTGCTTTCGTTAGTCAGGATGCATGTATTCACAACACTCGACAGTATGAGAAACACTTTGCCGATCGACCGTCTCAGCGCGACTGGCCACCTCCTCTGATCGGCGACCGGCATGGTGCGTGGGTGAGCTGGCGTATTTAGCTGGTATTAGCACTCAGCAAAACGACAGAACACGTGTGGGACCAGCTGGAACCGGTAGGCGACGCGGCCCGCGCTGCAGACCCACGTGTGAGATATTCCAGATCATAGATCCTGGACCTGTAAAATGAGCGTCACTTATAGCGCTTGATGACATCACAAGATCTTGTTTTGCTTGTGGACGCCACGATGAAGGTTGTTCAACACTCAATTATAGGACATGAGCTTTGACATCAAAGTCTTTCAATTAAAATATGCGCCGACCAACGTTCACATGTCTGCGTACATGGCAGTTCAAGTGTTCAGCTATGAGGCAGATAGTGAAGACATGAAAGTGATGCCTGAATGGTACACTTGAAATAATCAATCCATTCCCCTAATGTGCCGCCGATCGTTCGCACTGGCGGGACGGAATTATTTGATTGGATTGCACCGTAAGTCCCGGAACGAAGAACAAGAACGATCTTTCTTTTAGAGCTTTGCTTTCTAAGTCATATCCCGATTTTGTTTCATCATTATGGAGAGAAAATCCATTCCGTCTGCCCGCTCATGCAAAATACAGAGTTCCAACATGAAAAATGGACCATATATTTTACCCTTAAAGCTAACATTATGTAAATGTTTCAACTGCTATGCTGTAATGTGTTGTCAGATTTTGAATATCTCAGATATGTGCGCATTTTATTATATGCCTAACTATGTCTTACGTGGTCAGATACTACCTGTAGATACTATGCGTTAGCTCGTCAGCATGAAAATATGCCCTTATGGTTTATGCGTTAAAGCAAAAACAGTGAATGGTAAATGTCACAGATGTTACGTTTTTTTTTTGTTTCATTACATTAGCCGACACTTTTTCTCGAAAGGATTCACAAGGACTCACGAATTAAAAAAAATCATTCATATTCAAACTGACTTACAAAAAAAAAATCACAAACACCTTTCTTTGTTCAAACATTTTGTGGTTAAAGGCTTCACTTTTTTCCACGTAAATTACCTTCAGCTAAATTATGATAACGGCGGAACATGAAAATAGAACACCTGAAGTTATGGCACTTAGGATGCAGGGTTTGCTTATGTGTAGTTGCTAGTGTGCCATTGATGAAGGAGCTCAGCGAAAGGTGCACATTTCTTGAGCCTACAACAGGCTCACAGTTTTGAAACGCATGTTGATGTGAAGGAGAGACAGACGTTACTACCAGTACTCACAACGGTCATGTTTTTAAAACTTGTCCACTTGCAGTACGAAGATGATTGCTTTCTCCCTCATCACTCCGAGTTCCCAATGGGCATGCTCTCCGTTCACGACACATTGCTGGAAGGAGATTGTCTATTACCGTGTGCCCGGGTGGAACGAGTTTAAGCAGTTTGGCAAGAGTTAACGAGGTGCCGTCGGCACCTTGTGTCTGAACCACGGAGCCACAACAACCGTTACACGAAAGGCGGCAGGCACAGACAAAATGATCGTGCACCCTAGGTCGGTGTTATCCACCCCTAGCAGATCAGCACAGCGTACTCATGATTTTAGCTTGCAATAGTCTGTGTGAAATTACTTCCGAGATGTTCCAGACGAAATTAAAGCACGTCACGACTCTTCCAGCGTTTAATGATATCCTTAGACATGTGTAGTGATGAGAAAACTGAGTATCTAATGCTAGAATTGTGAAATACTCTATTTAAAGTGATATATTACATTTCTTCGCGAATAAATTCCGTCACCGCGACCGATGCAGCATTACGTGATGCGAGTTTGGAAAGTTGCTGACGCCGTATACAAGTGTTCTCTTAAATAACGTTGACGCGGTTATACATATATAATGAAAGTCTTAAAAACGTCATCGGATTTTTTTCAGAGAGATGCCTTTATACACCCTATAGCAAAGCCGACTTTCCAAACCTTACTCTAAAATAACAGTAAAATAACTTCTTTTTTAAACGATAAGTTATTATCGAACTCGCATGTAATGGAACATAAGTGAATACAGTCACTTGAGGCGAAGTTCCACCTAACGATTCATTTATATTTCACTGCAGGCTCTTAGCGTTGTGAGTTTTTAAGAAAAATGGGCAAAACGTACAGTTTCATCCACTGCAGCCTTATTGCAGTCTAGGAACGTCAAAGGTGACTGTCCTTACTAAAACTGTAGTGCTTTCTATCCCATTACGAATTATGTAGTGGCCACATGATCTGCTACGGTTCAGAACTATGCTGAACTAAAGGTGAAAACGGTTCAAATATTTCCACCAGCTTCTCACCAAACGTCTCTAGGGCTAATGTCTCATTGCCTCTAGGGGACTGAAATGAGAATGAATTGGTGTAGTAGGTGAAATCGGGCTGTTGAGTGTTGACCTCTGTAAGACATCATTGTAATGTAGTATCGTCATTTTTGTACCGGCTTTTGAAATTGAAAACATTGAGTCGATTGATGTCACTTTCGTCCTGCTCACCCAACCGTTGCTGAGTGTTAGTATGGCTTAAAGGGTGGCAGGAGCTCGGTAGGAGTAAGTACTGCCACTAGCATAGGCTCTGTAGGTGGGCCAGAGCCGCCAAATGAACCGACGGTAAAATGTATATTTGATCCGCTTCGTCTGGAAACCATCACGGCGCTACCTTCTCAGAGGTCTTTCAATCATTTAGTACGAGGACAATGCTCTGGACCTTAGGACAATCGATATCTTACGGCACACCCATTCAATCACGGTCAAGGTTAACTATGTATCTGTACAAACATGATGCGACCCCAGAAATTAAGAGCCCATGACCAATAGTGAAACTTTATTGGCAATCGCTTTACCTCTGCAGTCTGAAGCGATTTGCGAAATGATCGTGTCAGCTGCTTCTCAAAATAGCTGAAGGGTATAAATTGCAAAATATATTTTGTGAGGCGCTGTTCGTTGAAAACATATTTTGCATATTTTACAAATGTTCGTAATGTACAAACAAGGTAGGTACTCCTCGTGCCTGCACTCCGCACACATGTTTGATGAATAATCAAGTTTGCTCGAATCGAATACCAGAACTCCTGAGATCCGAGCTTGCACCATCGAATGTCCTATGTTTTACCGGCCGAGCCCCGGGCCCTAGGTGCTGGGACCGATGGGAAGGGAAGGGAGGCCATGGTCGTTCCAGTTTCCAGTCACATGTTAACTTAAACTTAAGCCCTTTCTCAAAAATAAAATTTTGGTCCAGGAAGATTCAGCTCGAAGAGATCCACATTGAACATAAAACATTGAACATAAAACTGTAAATAATTGTCCCCAATTACTTTTTTCTCCACAAATTGAAGTCAAAGCTTTGTTCCCCTCACTTTGTCTGAGCTTCCACACTGCCGCAAGGGTCGGAGAAGGTACTGAGTTGCAGACACAACGAGGAAGACACTTTAATTTACGAAAGTATTGCATAACCAACCATTTACTTAGTCGAATGTCTACATCTAAT